AGGACAGAATGCAGGCACCAGCAACAAAGCTCCCAAAATAGCCAAACAATGAAAGTGACACAGGATCAGAAAGTGTCTGTTCGTTTTGCCTATTTTTTTGACCACTTGCCCAACATTTTAGAGAGATCTTTCTTCCTCGGGGGCTCCTTGAAGCAAAAGCTCCTTGTCACTGCATGTTATCTCCAAAAATGCTTTTTTGAAAACCCATGAGAGTCAGGTAGCATAGTTACAGAGCATTAACTGGAACGCAACAAATCCGGGTTCTAGTCCTCACTCAGCCATGCAGCTTGCTGGGTGGCTTTCAGACAAATTACTGAGCAACTCTCATCTTAACCTCCCTGCCAAGGTTGTTGTGATAGAATGGAGAGCATGAAAGCCACCTTGAGATCCTTGCAAACAAACAAACAAGGTGGACTATAAATATAAATTAAAAATGAATAAAAATCACCATGTCAGGGTTGACAGTATGATGCCAACACCACATAATAAAGCTCCATGCCTATTTTAGAGCTTCATATGAGAGTTTGTGAAGTATCCAAGGGGAAGGGAAAGAGACGCCCGTCAGCCAACCCTCTGGGATACAGAATTCTGCTTAGTCCCAAAGTCTCAGCTACTCAGAAAGAGTTCTTGTTCCAATCAACTACATCATCACCTGCACTAATGTACAGAATGTTTCACTCTGTTCTCCCAAACGATTACTTTCCTAACAGTTTCTCACCCCCATTGCAAACTATTCAATTTGTAATTTTCATTTGCATTGGTGTTTTGTATTTATTGCCGAAAGTATAAAGAAACATTAACTCCATTAAAGGCCCATCTGGTGCAGTTACCTTTTCCCTATACATGTTAACTAATAGAACAAAAATCACAAATTTTGCTGTGCCTCCCCGTAATATGTTCTCGGGGTAATAATTAGTAAACATAGAATCATTCGCAGTAAGAATTCACCTCCATTATATGATATTAAAGTGGAAAAACGAATTACAAAGTTCAAAATCTTACTCCTCTTTGTGCATTGAAAGAGAACTAGAAAAGGAATTGAAATGAGGCAGGAAGAGAAGCAAAGGCAGAACTAAACACAGGAGTAAATTATGAGCAGCATTCATTACTCAAGTTTATATTGGGACCTGCTATGCTATCCAGGAGAGGTCACAACATGCTAAATGTGGAGGTCAATCAATCTCAATTTCAGTGGAAAAAGGAAGAAATGCCTTGGGGAATTTTGCTGGTTTTAGTGATGGCTTAATCTCTCATGTGACATTTGATGGTTTTCAACATTCTCTCCATGCCTATCCATCCACTTTCCATCTTTATTTTTTAAAAAGGACACTCATGGGCATTTCTGGCATACAGGTATTCACCAGAATGACACAGAGATAGACTAGACCCTCAGTGGCATCCAAAGAACACCATTGCTCATGATGAACCCCATTTCTATTGGGCAAGAATGGTGAAAAAGCCACTCTATGTACCAGCTCTATGGTGCCACAAAGACATTTGGGATCCAGGGAAGGAACTGGAGAAGCACAAACAACCCAAGCAAACAAGTAAACTGTCCAGAGAGCTTCAGCTGTCAGGCAGTATAGAAATTAAATATATAAACAACCCAGGAATTGAGAAAGCAAGCCACTGTTTGTTCCATCATCTGCCAGACAAACCCCGGGTAGAACAGTAAACTATGAGTTATATAAATCACAGATCAGTGTTATGTGTGAAATAAACCATGGGTTACTATCATGTGCAAATCAAGTCACTGAGTGTGCCCTGGTCATACTTTTTCAGGAATTGCTTTGTATACTGTCTGTCTGCCAGCCCTCCTATGTCACCTTAATGTCTCTTTACCTGGGAGAAGGCAGGTGCCCTAGCTCAGATGGGAGATGTCTTTTGTGACTTGCTCAATCTGAATGGGCGGTTTGTCCATCTTGCCTCTTGCAGCATTGTGAAATACGTAACCACATCCCCAGATGGGTGGGTGACCCTTGCCCTTCTCCTGGATAGGTGTTTCCTTATTAAACATTAAGTCTCCAATGTCAAAGGATTTCAGGCTGGCTATGATAGGGATAAAATCCTATGCCTCTTCATGCATTCAGGTTTCAAGGAACCTGGCTTTGGAAAATGGATACTAGAATCTTATAATCCTGGAGCCATATGCCTTAACCTCAGGGTGGGATGGAACAAAAACTGTCTAAAAACGTATTTTAGTTACACAGTTTAGATTCCAAATCATACCAGTTCCTAATGATGTATTAAATCTTCGTAAATTGCATTCACCTGCTGATATCATAGCTTTTTGCCACACATGCATTTCAGTTCTCTGTCTTGCCACATACTACAGGTAAACAGGTACTTCGGGGTTTATATGAGAATTAAGGTATTTCACATGCCCCAAATGGGCTCTTCACATGTTGAACTCCTTTTTTAAAAGTATATCTTAAATTTGTATATTTTAAATTTGCATATTTTACCTACCAAGGGAATGCCATGGATGCAATGTCAGGAGACTGGAAAAATGCTTGCTTGACTCCGGATTTCTCACCTGACTGATAGCCCTTTGCAATTTAAAACTGTGTAGATGGAGTACAATACTGTCTTTGTCTTATCGTATATTCTGCAGCTCTTGAGGGAAGCCCCAATAGGAGAAAAACTACCCCAGCCTCTGCTGTTGTCAAACCTTCCTTGCTTTACTGTGACCATCTGACTTTCTATCTACCAGCTGCAGGTTTCACTGATGGGGCCCCTGGGAAATCCCATCCTCCCAGGGGAGCTGATTATATTGCACACTGACCATTAAGTGCCATAGCCTGTTTCCATTGTAAGTGCTCCCCATCAGTACAGCCGCAAGCCTCTACAAGCTTAGACAGGAAAAAGGCCTACAACTTCCAGCATGCCCCAGCATGCCCCAGCCAGCACAGCATGGTGGGCTTATGCCCCTGATGCGACCCAGAAGACCAGCAGCCCTGCAGTTATTCCCCAGCAATGCTGAACAGACAGGATCACAAAATTGGGACACTTCGTTCAGACAATCCCAGCCTTTTATGGACCCAACAGGCCAAATAAAGGGTGGTGCAGAGCTAGAAAGCAATCGTGACCTTCTATTTGCAATTCTACTAGTGTGTGATCTATTTGAAGTTGTTGTTGTTGTTTCATTTCTAAACCACCCCATAGCCAAAGCTATCTGGGCACATGAGTAAAATAAAAAGGTTTAAGGTGAAATGGCACTTCTTTGATCCCTGCCTCTCCTGCTAAAAAGTTACTTCTTACAGAGTCCCTGTTCAGCTTCTATGGAAGAGAATCAACACTGTATTTAGAGAGAAGCTCTGGAGATTCAAAAACAGGCCATGTGGGGTAGTGGTTAGAGTGCTGGTCTGGGATTTGGGAGGCCAGGCTTCGGATCCCAAGTCATCCACAACCCTCACTGAGTATCTTTGGGCTAGCAAGTGTCTTTCAGCCTAGCCTACCTCATAGGGTTGTTGTGACAATAAATGAAAGGTGTTAGGATCATGCTGGCTGCCTTGGGCTCTTCAGAAGAAAGGTGAGATAGGCATGTTGAAAATAAATAAATTAATAAGATTCAGAGAAAGGAAAGACTGCAAAAGCTATCATTATTGCAACCTAGGTATTGCCACTGATCTAGGAAAGACATCCTGAAAGAGCAAAGTTTCCAGAAGAGTAGGAGGGAGGACCATAATAGGAGGGGAAAGAGAGCAAGAAGAAAGTAACTTAATGTTGAGGTACATGATAATTTCAACCTCAAAAGTAAGTCTGCAAGTTGCTAGTTCATAGGGATTCTCTCTACCCTATCTGCTCAAACTGGCCTAAGCTGGTCTCCTGTCATACGATGAGGGTCTGAAAGAAGTGAAAAATAAACTATTCCTGATTACAGAAGATCCATGGCTTCACTTTTTGAAAGCAACCCGTGCTTGCTATGGGCAACAGAGCAATAAATATTAATAAGCCTAGGGTAATACTTTATTTTTCTGCTCAGAGGTATGCATCAGCTGGAAAAACACTTCTTACTGTATACATGCAATGCTATTATTATACATTATAAACATATACATAAATTCAATTTCACCTCTCGCCAGCAAAGAGCAAAAGACACACTCTCCCCTGAGAGTAAAATTAAAGCACAAAATTTTAAAGCACAAAATTAAAGCACAAAATAAAATTAAAGCATGCATGTAAATACAAGCCACCAACCCTCACTGGAAATGCTTAAATTGGCAGCTGGGAACGGACAGCAGTGAGCAACACTTCTCCACGTAGTGCCACTATTCATGAGGTCTACTCTTAAGTAGCAATGCAACCGCATGCATGTGACAGCATGAGCCTGGCCCAATTGGCTTTCCTCTTTTCCAGCTTCGGAGGGCAGGTTCCTCAAAGAGGGAACTACTCCAAGGCCACTCCTAAAACTGTGCAAGCACCAGCTATGGAAGCCCAAAAGGGAGTGTGGGAGGCTGCAGTGTGATCTTACACACCGCTGAAATAGCACCAAATGCATGAGCCATGGCAAGCATGCAGAAGAACACAAGAAGAGCCAAGTGGGGGCAGACAAAATCCACCTAGCCCAGGCCAAATTCCACCTAGCCCGTTTACACCATGGCTACTCTCAGGAAACCCACAAGAGGACAGCACCCTCCCACCCAAGGTTTGCAGCAACAGATGCACATGAGCTGATGCTAGAGAAAGCAAGTGGCCGCCAGGACCAGAAGCCCGAGACAGGCTCTGCTTACTGCCCTCATCTTCTTTAGAATCATGGAATAGTTGAGTTGGAAGGGGCCCTGAAGGCCACTGAGTCCAATCCCCTGTGGTTGCAGGACACCAACTCAGCAACCATTCAGATTGGTGGAAGCCATCCCAAGGCACAGCACTGGGCCCTCGCTCTACCATGAAGGGCCAGTGGGAGGCAGATGCAGCCAGCAACGCACATTGCTGTGTGCTTGTGCACAGACCGCCCAACTGCTACACAGCTGCATCCCCCGCACATGAGATCTGCTCACCTCGAGGCCTTTCGGACTCTTGCTTTCTCAAATGAAAACCTCGGCTGCTCAGTCAGGTCGTACGTCCGGGTCGTTGGCTCTGCAGACACACCTTCCTTTGCCCCTCTCCTCCGGTTGCTGAATGCGGCCTGGCTGGCCTTGGGCACTTCTTTAAGCGGAGAAAACACGAACGGATTTGCTCCCTGGGTGTCCACAACATCCTGCAGCTTGTTCAGCTGGATGCATTTACACTTGAGCTCTTCAGTGAGGTCTGCGATGGTCCTGGTTTGTTTAGCCAGCTGTTCCTGGAGTTCGAGGATGTGGTAATTCCTCTCATGCAACTCTTCCTCCTGCCTCTTCAGTTCCCTTTCGAGCTCCCAGATCTTGCTTCTCAGAATATCTGCAGCCCCAGTGATTGTGCTGATGTTCAAGCCCGGGTCCTTCAAGAACTTACTGCTGCCAGAGCAGCTAAAGGGGCAGTTTCCCACATGGCTATCTGGCCTCTTCAGGTACTTGGGTTTCACTGAACCATTTCCCATTGGAGCTGGTGGCCTACACAAAGAAAGCAGATCAAAATTTGCTGATATTGGGAACAAACCAGCGGAGGGTTTGCGTGAATGTGGAACGAGAAGACCAACTGGTGTCCTTCCCACACGATTATAAAAGATAGAAACAGAACTTCAATTCTTTTTCTCCTTTCTGAAAACGCCTTTATAAATCCACCTAGCAGGATGTCTGCTCCTGTGACACTACACTGCTCCAGCCAACAGCTCATCCAAGTTGCTGCTCTTGTTGGACAATCTTATTAAGTGTTTCACACATTGGAACTGAAATTCGGGTGCCAGGCTGACAGAAAATAAAGCAAGACAGCAACAGTGAAAGTGAGATCAAGCTTTTCGTTTCTACTGCAAGGAAGCTGCTGATGTGTTTGGGGAAAAGAATCAATTGTATTTTCTTTTGAGGCTCCAAATTACACAACTCTCTCTTTTCTCTCATTCTCTCTTTCTTTGAATTCACATTAGCAGAACTGAAAAATCATTTCAGATTCTTTGACACAACTTGCAAACAAGAAAGAATGAGCCAATGAACCTACCCTGGACAGAATAAACATTTGAGAGTCCTAGGGACTACAAATAAATTTTGTAGAGGCCAGAAAATCAAACTTTTCTCAGCGCTTCCTTCTGATTCCCCTCCGTTCCCCAAGTGATGTTTCAACTCGCTGTTTCAGCCTGGTTTATCGTCTAATTCTTTTACAAAGTCAACACATCTTGGCATAATGCAAATTTTAAAGGACTTTTCAACAGCGAATTTTTCATGAGTGAGCAGATGGTGAAGTCTGGATAAGTACTGGTTTACAGCACAAATTGGCTAGAAGGCAGTTTGTGTCAACTGCAGTAGAAAAGAGTGACTTTCTGAACTGCCTCTTGGAAAGGCCAGGAATTAATTGAGGTTGCCTTCTGATTTCAGGGGCCTTCCATATTCTGGATGGCTCCTCTACCTCACTCTAAGGGGTACTGTAAAAAAAAATGCATGAACTTCACCTGTGGCTTGGCTCATGTGCTCTCTGCTTGTTGCACAGTGTAGCCTGCATTGCTAGGTCAGCTGCGAGAGTGGAACAGTCTTGTCTTAGCACATGGTGGAATATTGTCCTTCTGGCTCTTCAGCTCTCGTGATTCGAGGCGTTAGACAAATGAGGATGCTGAAGCCGCCATCGCTGGCCCTTAAAGGCTGGTACCAGCCACTCTTCAGGTGCAGCATGCAGGTCCAGCTGGCCAAGCAACACCTTCCAAAGACAGTGGGACTCCTTCGTCCGCCTGTGCCTTGCTCAAGGGCACTACTGAGTGGCCATGGCCAACTGATGCTCTCGGTACTGGGCTACATAGCCAAGAACCCCAGGTTGCATGGAGCAGAGGTCAGATTTGGGGGGGACTAAAGTACCTGCATTATGGCTGGAGTCGCTCTTCTTTCTAAACCTGCAGCTGCATGACTCTAGTTCACCATTTCCCCTTTTCCCACTTAAATTACTGTAGCGTTTAGAGGTCCCCCAAAAGGTAGGCTTTACCATATGTGGCTGCCCTCAATGTTCAAGGAGGGCTGGATCCTGCTTTCCCACAGCACAGCCAGCCACCAAATGTTCCACTGTTACTGGGACATCTTTTCCTTCCTTTATGCTAGATCACTTCACCAATGGAAGTGGATTGTGGGAAGCCCTCCAGCTGCCTCAAAATGCTACCCAGAGTCAGGCAATCCTGCAGAATGGTGGGGAGCAATGACATAGGGGAAATCAGAATTGGACGGACCTTTTGTGAGTGGAGCTGTCCTCTCACACAAAGTCTCTTCCACTCTCAGAAGGCTGATCCTGGATCCAACCTGTTGGGCACAGTTCTAGGAAAACTTGTGCAGGAACCACACCATCTACAGTAGCCCTTAAATCTTGACTGCAAGGGTCCTTCAAACCACTGAGCAATAGAAGCCTGCAGGTGGAATGGTAAGAGTGCTGGATTCTTCCTTGCAGTCCACTTGTGCTGTGTGTGTGTGGGGGGGGGGGCATAAACAGTTCTGCCATAGCTGAACACTGACTGGTGCTTTCCATGCATGCCTCATGTGTATACATGGGGATGGCCATGGGTGAACCTGACAGAAGCGTAGCGATGGAGTTGCTAGCAGTAGGAGTTCTCTTGATGGCTGTACTGCTACTCTGCTTTTATGGAGTTAGGGTTCTGCTTACATCGCACTGGTACAAAACCCCACAAAAGCCTACGCACAGCATGAGATCCCTGCTCCATTTTGTCGGTAACTGCAGTGTTAGTCAGTTATTCAAGGGCCATCATATACAGGCCATTATTTCTAGATTTCAACTATTCTGGGCCAGATGTCTGGGCTAGGGGAAGAAAACAATTGTCTCCGTCCTTTGTGAGCCAGTTACATCGCTGCTTCAGTATAATGGGGAGAGGAGCTGAGCCATCACTCTCTGCCAACCTGGAGTGCAAATCTCCTGGAAACAATCCGGAGCTTAAAAACTGGGTTTACCAACTAGCACCTTTCTGCGTCTTTTATGTATGTCCTTTTATCATAAGAAGGGGTCCCTCCTGTTGGCAGTCCTCCTGTTGCATTCCATTTAATTTTTTCAATTCTGTTTTATCCCGCTTCTCATTTTACCATTACCAAACACATATATAAATAAATAACCAAACAAACTTTTTAAATCCTGCAATGTTTTCATTGTTTTTGGGGTTTTTTTACACATCCTGTGTCTCTCTCATTTCCACATCTCCCGTTTTCTTTTACTTTCCCACCCTGCCCTCTGACTCATGGCCTTATCTACGTTCACACTCCATGTTGCTCTGTTCTTTTTGAATACTGGGCTTCCTTGGATGTGAAAAATCATTTCAAGCTGGGCTTCTCAGGGTGCTGTTCTTATTTATTTATTTATTTATTAAAACATTTTATATTTGTTTATATTATATTAAAACATTTTAACATTTATTAAAACATATTATAAAAAAAGTGGTTTCTACCTTCTGGTATCAGATCCTTCTTGCTGCTTCCAGACTTAAAAAACAGCAAGAAGCGCACACATCAATCACACCCATCACTTGCCACAAAGCCAAAACTAAAAAATTCAGGGTGAAATTCATGAAGGTCCTCATTTCACCTTCACAAGGGTCCTGTGACATAGGTGAGGCTGACAGCAAACGAGTGTCCCAAACCAATCCAGCAAGCTGCATGTTTGAATTAAGATTTTAACCCAGTACACTGTCTCACAGTCAAAGCTATTTATAAAGTAGGAGCCAGGGTTGAGGAAGGAGGCAGCTATGGCGGGTGGGAGGGGGGCAGATGTGTGTGAATAGAAGTGTGCATGTTTTAACAGGGGCATGAAAAAAAAAGAAAAGAGGCATGGTGCAATGTGACTTTTTGTGTGTGTCTGACTGCCTGAAGTTTTCCAGAAGGATCTGTACCTCACATCCCTCCAATAAGAAATGATAATGCTCACAGAGGGCTTCAGTTGCTCTGAAAATACTTCCATCCATTTCCTTTGTTGCTATGCTATTTAATTAAGCAGCACAAGGGCCAGTATGCAATCAGGCCACATCAGAGCCTCATCTTTTCTTTCTCCTTCTCATCCCAATCCCAGAAGGAACAGAGTCCAATCAAACAGCTCCATTCCACAGCCCATCTTGGGAGCAACACACATATGACAGTATACACACATGCACGCAGACAAAATGTTCCCATATTATATAAACTTGATTTTCTCATTGCATGCCATGGTAAACTGACAGGGAGAAAGCGATGCAGGTTCCTGCAAAGAGCATCCTTGGAAATTTCACATTTTATGGGTGAAATCTAAGCATGCAAAATCGTGCACAATAACAGTGCAATGGCTGTTCACATTGGTGCTTGAACAAATGTCTCCAAAAATGGGCAAAATAGTAAAGATTTTCTACAGCTCAGTGGAACATGGCTGAAATGCCAGGCCATTGCATTGTTGACAAAAATCCATCTGTACTTTGGATTTCAAGGTCCTGCACTTTGGAAAAGCTCACAGACCTCCAAGTCTCTCACTGAAGGAAATCTCTCTCCCAACAAATAATCATATGCCCAACTTTGAAGTCCACCACATACAGAAGTATACCTCGGCCACTCTGGTAATCTGGATTACTTACCCCTAAACAGTTACCCCACCCTTGCTGCTCGAGCCATTAATGGGGTCGGCAATGCAATAATAAGAAGGGAGAAGCGGACCTGCTCTCCATCAGGTCAAATTGTTTAGAAGCTGGGGTTCTCGCCTCCCCCATCCAGCTGCCCCACCAGTCCAAGCAACCCAGGTTCAGGTAAAATGTAGTACCCGCTAACAGCCCAAGTTATTCCGGAGCAATTAATGCAGAACTCAAAGTGCGTGTGGTTACACGTGAGTTCCATTGCACGACCACCAGATGCGCCCTTCAAAATAGGTGGACATTTCTCCCTCCCTCGCTACCAGCAAATTCCACAAGTGGAGCGTGGGGGGGGGGGGATGGCAGCGCACACACAACCAACATTCATACACGTGAAGTGCCGACACGCTCCTGTGTCCTGAATCCCCCTCCCTCCCTTCTCCCTCCCTCCCGCTCACACACGCACACACCGCTCTCTCCCGCCCGCTCCGGCTCCTCCGCTCCATCGCCACCTTCCCACGGCAGCCTTCGCCGGCCGCTCCGCTGCACTCACCTGCCCGCTCAGGCGGCCGGCTGCAGCCCTCCTCCCCGGTCACTTCCGCCGCCCTGCCAGGGACGGAGCCGGCCCCTCGCCCGGAGCAGCGGCGGGGCCCAGAGAAGCCCGGCAGACGATGCGCGCAAGACGGGCGCTGCCGTCGCCGCCCGGCTGCTGCTGC